AATTGAGTCAACAAACTTACCGATATGCCTTGAGTTGGCGGAATTTTTTTTTGTCGCTAATTTAACATGTGGTGAATATTCTTCAAACTGGAAGGAAAAAAAATTTTTTTTAGTTTTTTCGTCTTCATATGTTTTGCAGTTGTCATTAACGATGTCGTCATAACGAATAGGAGATGATTTTTTCTACTGCAGTATTGACATCGCTTACATTTCTTATAAATAAAACAGACTAACAGAATGCAAGTAGTGGAGCTCTGGGAAATTGTTTGAGAGAGGGATTGCTCAATGCCGAACTGAAGTTTTCTCACAGTATGCACGTATTGATACATAGCATCATTACCATCGGACTGTTACGTTGAGATTGGGAGAGTTGAAGCATAGTTTTTTTGCAAATTTATTTTCACTTATTTTATTTGGTTTTGCTACGTTCTATGTAGGTTTGTTGTTGCATTAAAACTACACTTTGTCACCAAAAATGGGGGAGAAGAAAAAAAGTATATACTGAGAATAATAGCAGAATTGTTGAACCAACAACAAGCCAGATAATGCGGATAATTTACGAGCAGAGTCTGCATGATATTTGTCTAGTTGTTGGTTTAAAAAATTCTTTCATTTTCATTTGTAGCTCGTCAGTGGATCAATAGCAGTGTATGTGGATGTTATTCCTGAGAACTGTTGGGTCTGTTGGTTGTGTGGTACGTTTTACTTGCTAATATAGGCGTCAATCAACGTCTTATAACTAATTATGGTGCAAATTTGTTGTTTGTTTCTTATGAAAGGTGATAACTGTTGGGCAGATTACAGGATAAGGATAATATTAAAGGTCATTTGTCTTTTTTTTCTCGCTATTGTTGGACTGATTTTAGTGGAGAGCTGTTTATGCAAAGTCTTCTTTTTTGATTCAATAGATATGTTTGGAGTAAAAAAATAAGTTCTTACGTATATTATCTTTTAACTGTTCAAGTACTACTTATTTTTTTATTGAAGAAAAGTTTTCAAAAAAAAAAAATTATTTATTTATATTTGTTTATTTATTCATATTTATATTCAGAAATTGGTGTTATATAAGAAAAGTTTGCAGTAAACCTTCATTTATTTTTTGACATCAGTGTTAAAAAACGGTCAGATTAAAACTTGTAGTTAGATTCTTTGTGCTCCTTCAGTCTGTTTGTTTTGAGCAGAACAAAAAATCTTTTCTATTTACATTCTTATGAATTCGATGACAACGGAACGGTTTATCGAAAAAAATGCATGCCTTACGCATTTGACATCGCTAAGTTTACCGATGTGGCAGAGTCTAACTTTACTGGATTCGACAGCTCTAAATATTGGCAGATATTGATCCTTCGAATGTTCAGCAAGAAAAAGGGTTTTTGGAACTAATCCATTTAGGTTAAACACAGTGATTTTAGCCTATTCTTGTAGGTCTATTTTTTTTAGTTTACAGATATATCTTTGGTCATTGCAGGCATATTTAAATATCGGAGCTTGACTTTAGTTCGGCGTAACGCAGTGTTTTCAGCAATTCCAAAGCTGATCTTCAGCGTTTGGATATAGAATGGAATTTTTTTTTTTGGTTAATAAATGTGTGAATAAAAAGGTATTTATTGAGTATGGTGGGAATATCTATTTTTTTCTTTATTTTTCTATTTTTGTCTGAAGTAAAATTGCAAATATTAGATTTGTTTTTTCATCTGCACTTTTTTATAGTTTTTTTTTTTTTCTTTCTGAAGACATTTAGGTTAATAATTCAGAGTTTTTGCTACTTTTTTAATAGACTATCTGTACGTAAAACTAATACCAATAAAATTTACTTTTTTAATTATTTATTACACTTTTGATCTCTAAAATTTTTTTTTTTTTTTTTTTTTT